CAATCCGTAAAGGCCATACGAGTCACGGGCTGATGAAGGTGCCAACGATTAATTTCAATCTTAATTAATCATTAATGTGTAGAATCCTCTTTATTGACAATATATTGATTAATTAAGATTGAAATTAATCGTTGGCACCTTCATCAGCCCGTGACTCGTACGGCCTTTACGGATTGTGTTATTATTATTTTTATTTTAAGAATTCGAGTCTACAGAAATTGTTTTTAATATTGTAAGTCGTATATAATTAATTTATTGTATATTTTTATATTAATCGTTTCACAATTGTAATAAATTTTACTGGATAACTTCACATAGCGAAGTGTATATAATGGATAGTATCGCTGCAATGTATCGATCAAGATGCTCTGCATTCTAATTATTTGATTAATCTTTTATATCAGCTGAAAATAATCGGTATCTTGAATTAGACAACACAAGTTGGTTTACTGTATTGTTATTTTTTAATATATGCGCTTAACAAATAAAGATTACGTTTTAGGCTGCGGTTTATTTGACACTACAAACGCTTCGAAGTATTCTTTGATTAGTCAATTCGTAAAATTCTTTGTTCTGATTGGTCACTTCGAAGCGTTTGCAGCGTCAAGTGGACCGCAGCCTTAATAGAATATATTAAGGCCTGTCTACAATACACGTAGTAAGCTTGGTTTAAGAAGAGTAAGAAATTGACCAATCACAGTCGAATGTGAGAAGAATAATTGACTATGATTGGTCAATTTTTTACTTTTACTTCTTAAACCAAACTTTCTTCGCATATTGTAAACGACGCCTTATACTTAAGCGAAAAAAAGAAGAGAAACAAAGAAAGGAACATATAATATTTTAAAAATGATAATAAAACAATTAGCGATTTTTATCTTGTAATATTTAAGGACATTTCGTCGTTTGAAGTCGCATTATGTTATTAAGATTTAGAAGAAGTGAAATATCGTGAGACGAAACTTTGTAAACTCGCACCTATATATATATATATATATACACATATATACATAGTTTTTTAATGTATACATCTTCGACGCCGTGATTTAGCACGGACTCGCACCACATTTATTTTCAACACCGCGATTTTATCATCAGTGCGTAGCTACGTAGTACCTAATTCGAAAATAGATGTCCTGGCGCTAATAAACAAAAAAAGCATGCGCAGTTCGCTATATTGTCGATATAACATATATTTAAGGGGCTGCGCAGAATAAAAGGAATAGGGAACAAAGAACAGAGAATAAGAATTTCAACCTATCAGAAATCATGTATTGTGGAATATATAGTTTCTAATAGGTTGAAATTCTTATTCTCTGTCTTCTGTTCCCTGTTTCTTTTATTCTGCGCATCCCCTAACAGGTTTCATAACCTCAATGGCAAACTTGAAACTTCTATGATTAATATTTCGGTTCGCGAGAAAAAGCGATACTCTTTTCTATCATATTTGTTCGTTTCAGACAAAAATGCGTTGAATAAATATAATTTCTTCAAATTTCGAGTCGATGTAGATAAACTGAATAATTATCCAAATTATGATGGATTACTTAAAAAAACCGGTATTTGTGGTAGGAGATATTAATGAAGATATCAATCTGTCATTACCACCCTCTTCTGGGGAGGAATACATCAAACGAGTGGTGTAAGCTAGCGTTTTCTTTTCTCAGTTACTCTTTTTTTTCCATTTTCTTGAATTTTCCAATTTAAAGCATCTTGTTCTATTTTATTACAGAATAGAAGCCAGACAATGCGCGGATGTAGTGGTGGCCAATTTAGATCCCTCATGTGTGAAGGAACCTACAAAAGCCTATGTGGAGACTGTAAGTTAATTCCTGTAAATCATGCCATAAATCTCCCAATCATGGAATGAATATGATTATAAAAGTTAGCAGGATGCGTTCAAGCCCCGGCGAGCCTCAAGCCAACTGTGGAATGGCAACAATATCAGGTTGCAGACTTTTCCAAGCTAAGACTGTATGTCAGCCAATTGAAAGATGAGATACTAATAGGCAAGCGCAAGTGGAGACCACCTGACATTCATTTGGTATACGAATCTTATAAAATACTTATCTAAAGGAAATAATTAAAGCTTAAGGAAATTATGAGTTATATTGGTTCTTTTTCGATGTTGCAGCCAGACATAGATGATCAAAATGCTTGGATTAGCTTCTGTTTAGATGGCAAAGAAATAATCAAGCCAACGCTGAATACTCTTTTTTGCTTTAGTCAGTCTAATGTTGAACAGATACTGGAATATTTGGTGCAATTTGTGGAAACTGAAAGAAAAGTTGAATACAAAATAGGCCAGTGGATCTATACGTTACTTGTGATTTTGGAGCAACCATTGCAGCCTGATACTTGTTCCTGCCTGCGCTCATTGGCTCGAGCGTGTTCCGTCATTCGTGCTGATACTGTAATGTTCATTATTTGATAAAGCTAATTCAGTATCATAACATATTAGAATTAAATCAACCAATATCGTTCTGTGTCTCAGAAAACTAGAAGAGAAAAGAATCAACAAGTTTAACTTGATTGTTTTTCGATTCGTGTAATATTCATTTCTCACAAAAAGAGCGTTTCAAGATTGAATGTTTTTAAGCAAATAAAAAATTCAAATATTTTTTTCTTAACGCTAATTATGTCGTTTTTATATCTAATATAAAAAAATAATTTATTATAAAAATATATAGGATTTATATATAGTTACATTTGATCCTAAAGGTATAGAAAAAGTAGGATTCAATGTTTGTTTTCTAGAATAGTAAATATAATAAAAACAGAACATGTTGGTTCTTTAGATTCTAAAGCATCAATTTATAAATTTTACAAAGGAAAGTTCAGTTAGAATTTATTGTTAGCAGCTGATTTATTGCTAAAAAATAATAGGGAGCAAATAAGAAAGGACAAAAAGGAAACGCCAAATTTCTATTAACAAAACATTTTTATTGCATATAACTTCCTGTTTCCTCTACTTACGCTGTTGCTATGTCGTTCCCGATATTAGAAAAAGGTTCAGGCGATAATAAAAACTCGCGTTTGTCGGGTTACAAAAGATTGAGAAAATAAGAGACTGAACTTTTCTTCTATGCCTAAACTAACTCGTGGTCTTATTAATATCTACAAAAGTTCACGTCAGAATTTACTAACGCTGTCTTTGCGATCTCGCTATTTCTTTTTTATTCTTTTTTTTTAGAGAGAATTGGACGCGCAGGAGTTGGGAGCGCTGAACTTGTTCATCTGTCTAGTAGCGAGATACTTTCGTCAATTAGACTTGGCAGATCCTTGACAATTTCCTATTGTGCATATAATATAATTATTTATAACGCGACACGATATATATCATGTCTGTGTACATACAGCGATTTTTAATAAACTTCACATAAGATTAGCCTTAGATTCCAAACGTAGTAAATAGTACATTAAGTTTCAAGTCTTGCTTAGTCATTATGATCGCGCTTTAAATTACACAGTACCAATTATTAAAGGGCTCGATATATAATATAAGGCAATGCTTCAATTAAATAAACTCGTATTACAATAATCAATTGGTAAGCGAAAATTGAATAATCTTGAGTGATCCTTAAGCTACGTTCTCTTGGTCCTGGAGTAACGCAGTAGCTAGTCTCTCTAGATCATCATAATTAAGATTATTCACTTTATTTTTCAAGTCCTTTATCAGCTCATTGACTATGGACTCGGTCTCGGATACCGTATAGTAATGCCTAAGCACCCGTGAGACCTCTTCTCTCAGCAGATGGATACCGGCTTTCTGTTGAGGCAAAGATCTTGCTTCGCTGGAGCCTTCCTCTGCCTTCTTGATCACCAAAAGATTTAACTTACTGCCATCTTTGATTCCCGGATAAAAACTTAGCGGATTTTCGTCTGAAGATATTAAACAAAATATTTGTAACAAGAAGCCATTGCGATATACAATACTAGATGAGGGATGCTTTTCATTTGGTGACACAAGTCGATACAAACGTCATTTTATCTTTCTTGATATTTTATGAGTAACAAATAAAGATAACAAATAAATATTTGTCAGCAAATGAAAAGCTCTCAGGATTCAGTGTTCTTACCCGCTAAGGTCTTGCCAGTGAGTAATAATCTTTGCTGTGGTACATCAATACCCAAGAGATTGCTCACTTTGTGCTTCAACTCCAACACTGTCTCTGACGGCAATATCTAAAATCATACGTATAATGACTTGAAAGTAATTTCTACGAGAATGTTGTCATAAGAATGTTTGGACAAAAAAAATTCTTGACGTCCAAAAGGCGAACTATAACCTTAATTTTTCGCTTTAACGGTCGTTGGAGCGCGTGAATTCATTTAAGATAACGATAAACGTTAGCTTGGCTTCGTGATTTTGGGTATTAGTCTGCGATGAAATTCAGATTATGAGAGGAAGTCGTGGATGCTTTCGCGAGAAAACGAGGGAGCGGCGCGATAGCC